CTGGGCGGCGGGAGTGCAGGATCTGGCTGATCCCTTCGTGCCGGATCCAGTCCTCTACCTCTGCAATCCAGCAGAGCTCCTTGTCAGGACGCCCCTCTGATCGGATGGTTTTAATGCCGAGTTGCCTGCACTCGTTCAGGATGTCGGAACGGTCGTCGATGAGACAATGTGCCTGAAGTGCAGAGATGATAGATGATTTGCCCTGCCTTCCGCAAGGATAGCGAGCCAGGTGCAATTCTCTAAACGGCAAACCTTCTGCGATCAATTGGCTAATCACGTGCTCAGCACCAGCCTTGGTGCTGTCAATCTTAGATTGGCCGGCGTATGAGACAATGTGGAACTCAATTTGATTACCAGCAATCCTAGTCAATGTCCGAAGCTTATCAACTAAATGGGAAGACAATTCACCAATGGGGTTGAGAGCTTGGTCAATGGTATCGTGCCAGTCGATACAAACAACTATGTTGGATGTATTAACGTGGACTACCTTAGAGACTAAGTTGGGTTGATGCTGGTAATGTCGCGGCACAGAGCCAGCGACCCCCTCTGGCCGATCTGGTGTTGGATCAGGTAAAGGCCGCCCACGGACGTGGGGTGCAAGGCCGGATCCTGAGTGCCTCTTGCTGTTGCTGTTGTCCTTCGGGATCAAGTGGTGGGAGATCTCGGGACGGTTGGCCAGCAGGTCTTGCCCTCTCGATTCCTGGCGGAGGAGGTTTTACGGGCTTAAGATTAGCTGGATTAGGGGGAACAGGCCTATTAGGTCTTGGGGGAATTACCACAGGTGCAGCGGGTGCTGCAGGTGCCACAGGCGGATGCTTCCACGGCAGATTCTTCTTAGGCTCTGGAGCTGGTGGTAAAGGTTCTGGCCTTTGGGGCGTGTCGGGGACAGCAGCCCCCTTTGCACGGATTGGCACAGGAACGGAACTAGCTCTTTTGCGAGACTTAGATGAAATCTTATTTGAAATTGGTACTTCCCTTCCCCTTGATGTTCTGGCAGCAACTGCGGGCGCAGTCTCGGCTGAGGGTGCTCTTGATCTGGATCGCCCAACGGGAGAGCCGGCTGGCTCTGATGCAGTCTCTGTCGCGACACGGGCTGTGTCAGCGACCCCACTTCCAGCACTTTGCAAGGACTGCCTCCAGGGAGGATAAGCTGAACTACTGGAACTGCTTAATGGGGGAACAGTCAAAGATGGTACTGTAGGGGCTGCAGGTGGTGTTGGTGCAGCAGAAACTGGATCTTTTCTGGGCTGTGCCGGCTTATCACGTTGGACTTGAGAGGTTCTTATGTTAGGACGCTGTCTCTTTGGTGGAGACTCAATTGGACGGGCAGGGGTGCGCTCAGCGAAGCCAGCGTCGAACGGTTCTTGCTGGCCGACAAATGCCTGACCTGATGAAACAAACCTGGCGGTTCGAGTCTCAGCAGTTTCAGAGCCCTCAGATTCGGTTTCGGGGTTATTGGTGGAAATATTATAGACACTATTGGGGTCTAAATTACTTGAACCAAGAACAGTCCGATGGGATCTAAGTGCAGGATCACGCCACAACGAGTCGGGAAGCTCGTGTGGGTTGACCCCAAGCTCTGGTGCCTCGGCGTGAGGAACAATGAACGGCAAAGTCTGCGGCGCGTACGCAATCGGAGGATCAGCGACCCTTGCCCAGGTGCCAGCGGAGTCAATTCTAATTTCGGGGTAACCATGCACTTGGGGCCTTAAAGCAAGAGGTCTTCTAGAAACACCGGTTATGGCACGGGCTCTATAAAGTTCTTGATTAAGTTCAATTCGTTCACGGGTTTCCCTTGGGACTAGATTGACAGGCAATGGCGGATTGGACCTAGTTCTTTTAGGCCTACGACGGCGCGTGGAAACCTCACGGCCGTGTTCAGTTGTTGTAAAGTCAGGGAATTCGGGCTCTGCTTCAGCCTCAACCTCAACTTCGACCACTTCGTCCTCCTCAAAAACCTCCTCTTCCTCCTCTTCCTCCACCCACTGCTCCTCTTCAGGCGGTGGATCGTTGGGATCCTCCGGAGCAGTCTCTTCTCGCGCCTCTGCTGGTTGGGAACTGCGGGCAGCGAGCTCCTGTGCAGTTGGCGGCGGATGAGATGGTGGTGGTGGAAAATTATCACCAGGCGGTGGTGTATTAGGAGGTGGTAATGGTGGTAAAGGTGGCTGTTTATGAGAGGGCGGACTAGGGGCAATGTTATTAGGCGGAGGTGGCAAACTTCGAACTCTATCTGCAAGGGTTGTGGCACTAGAATCAGGAGCTTTGGGCCTAGCCTTAGCTGGTGGCTTAGCAGGGCTAGCAACTGGGACTGGTGCTACGTCGCGCCCAAAGGCAGCGACCCCTTGAGAATCTGACTTTGGGGCTTGTGGGACTGGATGGACAGAGACAGTAACCCTTGGACGCGGCGGTTGGACCGGATGGTTTGGTGCCCTCAAAGAGGGTTGCCAATTTGGCGGTGGATGCCCAGGCTCTTTGGGTCCTTGCTGGACCGGAGTCGGATCTGTGCCTCCACTTGCCGCGCCAGCAACGGGTGTTGCGGCAGCAGGCCTAACCACCTTTGGATGGGGTTGCTGTTGTGGGCCTATGTATCTATAATACCTATCCCACTCTTCTTGGCGCGGGTGCTCTGCCCCTAGGATGCGTTGGTTGATGATCCTTTTTGGGGGTAGTTCACCAGAGTTTATCACTTGTTCGGCGTGTGAAGTACCTCTGCGCCTGTCCAAACCGTGGATGTGAGCCCACTCTTTGTAAGGGATGAGGATCTGGTAGGCCAAAGCTAAACACTGTGATGTTGGGAACTCCTCAACAAGTCTTGAATGAAGAGCTATCAACCAGCGAGTGCTTTCGTCGGCGTATTCGTAAGAAATCTTTCTTAACCAAAAGCCACCTACGATATCCCCTCCGGAGTTATGGTAAAGCCAATTTTGGTATGCCTCGAAGTCGTTCCACCAAGCTCGCTTTGCTTCTTGCCACCTAGTTGTAGCACCGCCCCTGCTGGATCGAACCCTTGGTCGATGGGCTGTTGATGAACTAGCGGGGGAATGTCCTACTTGGATAGGATCGGCACCTGGGTCAACAAGATTAGGGCTAGTTGGTGGTGGGACTATTTGATCGGGGCAACTAGTGTTGGCTTCTGTCGCGACACCGGATGTGTCAGCGACCACAGGATCGGATGCAACGGCTGCTTCGGATGCAAGGGCGTCGGCAGTTAGACCTTCGGTCTCTGCCTCAGGAACCTCAGCAACTTCGGTTGTGTCGCCACCTGTAAAATCGATGTCGGCAGAATCAACTGGATCTGCAAGACCTGTTGTACCAACTTCGCACTCAGCTTGTTCCAGAAGAGTTGAAGATTCTTGCTGAAGATCTGCTCCTTCTTCTTTTGCTCGATCAATGTCCGTGAAAGCAGCTTCCGCTGGGTTACCCAAATCAGAAGGTGGTTCCAAAAATGACTGATCTTGAAGTGAAGCGTCAACCCCAGTTTCTTCCGTCGCGACGGGATCGTCAGCGACCTCCTCTGGCAAGCCAATTGCTGAAATTACCGCACTGATGCTCTCGGCCTCGTGGATCTCCTCCTTAACCTCTACCAGTGATCCTTGTGGATCTGCAGAGTCTGTCACAATGGAGTCGAAACCAGATGGCGCGGGCGCTTGTACCTCAGACAGATCCGCCCAGGAGGTAGAGGCCTCAGCTATCGATCCGGCAGGCAACGGGGCTGGTTGCTCAACGTCTTCTGCAGCAGATGCGACCGCTTCAGCTCCACCCGCTGGAGTTTCAGTCGCGACGGAATCGTCAGCGACCTCACCGGATCCTTCTGAGGGCATGCAACAAGGAACAGTGAAGTGCGAAAAACAAAGTTAGGGCCTATGGCAAGTTTTACCGGATTAGGTTCCCCAACAAAAGCCTTACGGCTGATAACCAGTCAAACAGGGGGACGAACCAGGCACCCACAAAAGGAAGGAAACCCAATCCGGTAAACCCTGCATGAAACAACCAACAAGCACCTTTTCTCGAAGGCACTTGAGCCATAAGTATCACATGCGTACCCCGTTATACCCAGGTGGTTGTTAGGGCATTACGGGATACCAGGGTCTAACCTACGGCTGCCTATATACCTAACGCTTCTAGGTATATGGTGCTACCACTGTACATATCGGGGATATCTACTTTGGGTATGATGGACTCATAGCTAAGGCATACCTCTACTAGACCTACCTGCACATGCTATACATGGTGGGGCTCAGGGGTCGATATATTTCAACTATATTATATAGTATATATTATATATATATGCGTATGTATGCGTGTGTGTGTGTGTGCGTGCGTGTTTGTGCTAAATAATTACATGTGTCCAAAATCTTTGGAGACAACTTCTCAGGCTCAAGCTTTTCCAATGCCTCCCAATGGGAAGATTCCGATGTTTCCATATTTTTCCAATGTCTCAATGCCAATCTCAACAGAACAAGAGCAAAATATACCAAAATGATCACTGCCTCTTCCAGGCGCTTGATGAGTTTGACAGCTGGCACACGTTTCAGCTGAGAATCTGCATCCATATCCTGCCCACGCCATAACACATACTTGAGAAAATTGAATCACGGCCAAAATGACTTGTTTGCAGTTGTGATTCCCTGTAGATTATTGGAAATATTATGAAATATTGGAGTTTGACCGTTGTACGTCTTCATGCGTGTTCTATTTCAACTCATGGCAAGTGTGTCGAAGCTGAGACCAAGCTTGAGAGCTCTCGGCACCTGCACCTCTGGAATTGTGCCGAATTGAAATGCTGAGAACAATGGCAACGGAAAAATCAAAAGCATGTCAGTTGGCATTGCTTTGCTACATGCTACATGTGATTGTTGGAGCCATCCCAGAATCCTGCTTGTGATTTGACAGCTGTTCGGCAAAAAAAAACTTCCCATAAAGATGTTTTCGGTGCGAAGTTGGTCTTCCAGTCTTCCATGATCCTCCATTAAAAGGTGCATCCTTTACAGCTTCGTCAGCACAAAGTTGACTTTTTCCCCCTCTGCGGATGCAGTAGGACGAGTGAGACAAAGGAGGGCACTGGCTAGGAAAAGTCGTCAGGCGACCAAACCCTCAAATTGTCCTGCCACAAAGTGTTCTATGCAGAAGAAATGTCCAAACGACGAAGTTCGCCTCAATAGTCCTCAATCTTTAAAACCGTAATGTGCTTGACTTCCATAGTTGCCAATAAAACAAGCCTTCAGTTGGGTTTACCTAATGAATATCTTGGCTCACTAGCTCATACTGCTCCCTTACTCTTGCCATTTCCATCATTTCCATCATGTCCATCTAATCATCAAAGGTCCAGAAGTACTGCAAGGAGTGGATGCGCATCTCGGACAGCTTCCTGCAGGTGGACAGCTTGGGACAGCTTGGGACAGCTTGGGACAGCTTGGGACAGCTTGGGACAGCTTGGGATTCTGGATACTCCCGGGGACCATTGGGTGCCCTTGGCAAATCAACTGGCAAATCAATTGGCAAATCTTGCAGATCTTGCAGATCTTGCAGCCGTGTGCATTGTACAAGGCTTGGAGCCTCTGGCATTCCCTCCAGGTTGCGGACAGCCGCCACGTATGCCTCCTCAAGGCGGACAACAAAGGTCGATGGTCCAAGGGTCACATGTTCTCGACATTTCTCAACTTCAACACGCAATCAACGTTCAACATATTTCAACAAACATCAGGCCGCCACCCTGGCTGTTTGTATGGCAGCTCCAGTGTCCTGAATGATGGAGCTGAAGCCACTGAAGCCAGGTTTTACCCCATTTTCCCTACAGATCCTTACAGTATCCTGACAGTAAGTTACCTTGACTATGTCATGTGTAGCTGTGTATGTCGGAGTTCACATGCTTGAAATTGAAGTTGCCATCCCCGTCCTTGAGGATAACCTGCTGGAACACCTTAGATGCCATGTATCCAATATACGGTTACCGTATATTGCCGTATATGAGTAGCGGACAAATTTATTTCTTAAATTTAATGCCATGCACAAATTAGGGTCGTCCCCTATCGCTTGTGAGGATTTCAGTACTCCCGGAGATATCACAAGTGGGGTATCGGTATAGGGTCGTCCCCTATCGGTTATGAAGGTTTTGTGCAACCTGAAAAAGGCCAAGGCGAAGCAAGACTAAATTAGTATTACAATAATTTTGTTGGTTACTCATATGATAATATTTCTATCCAAACAAATCATAACACATTAACAAAACATAACTTAATAACGTAACAAATCCATCAAATTCCATCAACTGGGTCCATGAAACTATTCACCATTCACCATCATTCACCATAGTTCACCGAACATCCTGACAGCTCCTTGCTTCATTCTCCTTGGGCTCCGACCGCGTAGTTCAAAGCAACGCCCAGGCGCACAGGGTGCGTCACCATGAGATGCCGCTCAGCCTCGCCACGGCTATGCCACAGATGCTTTTCACATCAGACACACGGTAGACCCGTGGACATCTGGACATCTGCAAACCCAAGGATATCTGCACTTTCGAGAAAGATCAATGAGAGAAAATGCATGAAAATGCGAGGTTTGCTAATCATATTGACTAGACTAGATATGACTAGACCATTGACTATCCAACAGCCTCCGTGGTTGCATCCGCATAGACTTCGATTGCACTGGCAACAGCCTGCAGACAAGAGAGTTCAGGGAGGCCGGACAGGACCCAAAGAGGTCAAGGTCTTCGAGCGTGCAGACCCAATGAATCCTTGAGAATGATCTCGAACAAATCAACAAACGCATCCTTCTGCGAACGAAATCTGAGGCTGAGAACTTCTTTCTTGCCATCGTTCTCGAGAAACTCTGCCAAGTATCGATAGTAATCAGCCTGGAAAAATATCCGTTTGGATCCGTTTGGTTGGTTCATGTTGGTTCCATGCCGTGAGAAATCGGATGAACAACGTTGGAGCGAAAAGGCTTCAAAATGTATCAAAATGTTCTTGCAGATCTTGCAGATCTTGCAGATCTTGCAGTCCAAGACCCGAGCTTGCATTTTCTTGTAGAAGACGATGGGTTCCCCGTTCTCTGCCTTTGGCCTCAAACTCTGGAGCTGCTTTCTCGAAATCTGACACATCATGAAAATATGGATGAGTTCATCTTGGATCCCTGCAGAAGGGTCCCTTCCACCAGCTCAAGGACCTGCCCATACCATCCAGTTAACAAGTTGCAGACCCTTCGATGACAGCCAACTCAAATCTCTGCAATGTCGATTCAAGTCGTCTTGCCGCGCCTGAATGCAAAGGCCCTGTAGCTCCAAGCGGACCTTCCAAGAAAATGGTACGTCTTTGCTCGTCTATACGTATGGACAGAGCCCAACCCTTACAGCACGATACCGTGACTATCTCACAGCCCAACCCAAGATCTTACAAATCGTACAAGGACAGGTGCCGTCCACGGAGAAAACGCTGTATTTTGATTGACGCCTTGCTCAGGTATCCCGCTGCAAGAGCTGCGTTCTTCTCCTTTTCGGCTTCCTCCTGCGATACTGCATCATGCAGGGCCATCAGCCAACTAAGCACCATAAGTCACAAGTTCTGCAAAGTTCTGCAAAGTTCTGCAAAGTTCTGCCGCGTGCCTCCTGACTTTGAATGCTCTTGCACACACGGACCGCAAGTCGACGGCTGCTCATCGCACCCTGTTTGCCAGAGCATGCTGGAGCGTATTGTCGTTTGCAACATGATACAGCCAGTGTGTTTCTGTCTGCTTTAATCGGTCCATGCAGAGTTGGGGAACTTTCCAGAGACAAACTAACCAGGTGGAACTTAAATTAAAGATGTACTGTATCAAGACTGACTCACAGACAGTCACAATCGAAGGAATCAGCGGCAAGCACCTTGAAAGCTGCAGCAAACATCTCCCTCTCCTCCCTGCTGAGGGCTTTTCCAGCTTTGACACGGTCCTGTTCCATAGAAGTTGGTGTATCTGTAGAGTGTAGAGAATTTACAAAGCAAAAGAATTCAGGACAAACAACTGAGTCAAATCAAATCCATTTTCTGTTGGCAAAATGAATGCAAAAAAGGGTCAAGAATCAATTTTAGATTTCTGAACCTTCCTACAGGTCTAAGGGTCGCCTTCATGTACTCAATCATGTCATCGTACCGCTCTGCTCGCTCGGCAACATTGGCCAGAACGATGGCTTCTTCCTGCGACCACGGCATCAACGTGAAACATTATGTGAAATCGAACCATTGAAATGGGTCAAACTGAGAACATATCAAAGGTCGAACTCAATACAAGCGCAGTCTTGCCAAGAAAAAAGCTCAATCTGTTTCTTTTCTTCTTTGCATCACAGGTTTCCGATTCCCACCCTCCTGACATTTGATTCGACCCCTTCACTCTACTTCCCCAAAGTATCTACAATCCCTAACTCTCATGCCACGAGCCTCGGGTGGAAGATTCACTTGCTTTTTGCGGGGCATCTTCAGCCCTGGTTTCTGTGTCAGACTGGTCAGGTGCCAGGTGACATCACTCTACTGAGTAAGCTGTGGGTAGTCTCTTCTTGTCAGGTGTTGGCCGTTCAGCTGAACCTACCAGCATAAAAAAAAGAAAACATGAGTGTAGAACAGTGTAGAAGCAAGAATAACAGAAGTAGATATACTGAGAATGCAGGATGGATTGCAGGATGGATTGCAGCCTTCCACCTCAGGCTTTGGGCTTGGGCTGAGCCGTGTTCTTTGTGCTTGTCGGTGTCGATCTTTAGAGGAGGCAGCCGCAAAATTTCACATTGCCAGCTGCAAGTGTTAGATCAACGGAGCGACGGAATATCAAAAGGACCAAAAAACCTTCAGAGAAACTCCCAGACCCGGACAGTGGGCAGCATTTCCTGCATTTTTTGTTCTTTTCGGATTTAAATCTAGTCTTGGCGCAGACTTCAACCGCGGCAAGGCCATTCTACTGGTTACATGTGGGTGCATTAAACTCATTGGCACATTGGCTCTCAATGCAGTTTCGCATTGCAGATTCTGTAATTTGAGTGAGACCCATTTTTTTTTAAATCACTGTAATCAGCAATGCAGCTGGAGTCTGATTCGGCTTGACTTTGAAGCCGGAACTCAGCCTCTTGACATCACTTTGCCATCATTGACCTCGAAATCAGGCTGTACGGCGAAATGTGTCATAGTTCAGCTGTTCCTTCCACGAGAATTTCCGGTGAGTGCAGAATGTTGTGGCAAAATGTGGCAAACGGATGCAAACAAGACAGAAATAGACAGAATACAAAAGGGCTGAAGTTCAATTGCTGTCTTGGCAAATCTGACGGGTCCTTGCTGTTTCTCACAGCCCGCCGCCTTGGACTCCGGCTCGCTGACACTGTGATCATTGTGCCGCTGTCTACGGACAGTCAAGCTGTAAACCGGGCCCCCTGCTCAAGGCCTCAAGAAACATTGGGAAAAAGTGCATGTTGCATGCTAACAATGTGACCCCGGAGCAGTAGATATATGTAGATATATTGGAAAAATTGATAAAAATGGTTGGTGTATGTTGGTGCACATTGTACATCGATTCTTAGGCGGCCTGCAACTTCTAGGAATTGTTTGCGGACGGTATTGTTAAATATTGATCTATATATATATATTAATATATAATAATATAATAATAATAATGATAATAATAATATGACGATAAATATTGTTTACATAATCAAACTTTGCAAACTCAAAAACTGCTGCGAATTTCATTGCAGACTCACCGGTCGAAAGAGCAGTCAAAGCCCTTCGCCTGCGAGCCGAGATGATCAACTTGCCTCCGAACCTGCGCCACAAACGACCAAGCGTGCTTGTACAGCTTGAATCAGTTCCTTCCCTCAGAATTTGTCAGAGTCTCTTCGAATCACAAGCAAATATTAAATCTTGCTTCATGCCTGCGAATCCAAGAATTCGAGGTGTTGCTTTACCTCAGCGCAGAGTTCAGGACACACAAAGCATGTGCCAAACTGCTGCAACTTCCGCGCCGACCTTGCCCTCGGACAGTAGACCTGAAGGATCTGAGATGATCTGAACGACGCTTTTTTGGAGCTCACCAGATTCACCAGTCTGGATCGTAGTCTTCAAGGCTCCAACCACTGGCATCTCCGCTCCAAGAAGGCCTGCTCCAGACCTGGCCACCGTGCCACACGTGCCACACGTGCCACACGTGCCACACGTGCCACACGTGCCACACGTGCCACACGACGGCTATGAGATGAAACGTCCAAGGGTCGGACATCCCACTGCAGTCCCGTTCTCAAAGGTGGTGCCTGCACGAAGAACTGCCAGGCGGCTTCGTTCTCAATGACGACTCAGCAATGAGGTGTTGTATGGTCCCTGTATGGTGTTGTCATATTGTGATGTCATCTGAGTTCACTGCCATGGGTCCAACATTTGGACCCTCCGGAGATGTTGGCGAGAGCCTCGGCGCATTAGGCAGTGCGTTACTACTGTTTAACCTAAAGTTTAACCATCAACAATCTACAACACATTTAAAGGATTTGAAAGGCCACGGAGAAATTAAGTGCCTATGAGTGCGGCATAGTGCGGCATATTGATGGCTCATATTTCTTAGAGACTGTGGGTGACTGAGCTTTTTGCGAATGCTGTTTCAGCTGTCCGCGCATCGCTTCCATGGACGACGACAGGGCCTTCCACGTATGTACATTCCCGAAACCGAATTGAAACAGGAGCTGAACAGCTGAACCATTGCAAAAAAGGCTTGACATCTGCGTCGGTATATGGCTGTTTCACTCTTCTCATCATCAGCTTCAGCTGCTACTATTGACCATTGGACTGGCCTTCAACTCCAATTGGGCACTTTGCATCTCCCCCTGCAAAAGTTGATCTGCCAAGAATATCCAAGAATGCACTACAAAACTTCTCTTCACCGCGAGATGTGCGGTATTTCCACACCTTGCACTACCCCCCCTTCAGAGTCACAGTAATCACAAGCTCCAATAAGTCCCACATGTGCCAATCATCTTCCAAGTCTTGTAGTTGAGGCTGTTTGCCAAGGATGAATGCATTAACTTCTTGGCTTTACTGTTGCCCACCGAAGATTCATACAAACGCGAGCTGCAAATCGCACGCCTGTCTTTCCAGGTTTTGCTCTGCAGCTTCCAATCGAACCTCGCAGCACTCAAAGCTTCTGGCATCTTCTGGCTATTTCATCCATCAACCCCTCGCCTGATTTACCCGGATGTCAGCTTCATGTTGCAAACACTCCGCCTGCTCCTGGGAAGAGTGTGCAGATTGTAAGAATGCAACCACCCAAGCATTGACCATAACCGACGAATCGGCATTACAAATGGACTCTTCTCCTCCATTCAGTTTGATTCGGTTTTCTCCACTGAACAGGTCCCTGAGCCCGTGCAGCCCATGCGTTTCCGGATCCTTCAGTCTCCGTGGGAAGTCTTGAATCTCGCGCTCTGCTTCCTGCGAATATTGAGCTTTTGACGCTTCTGAGCTCCAGGGTTCTGTCTAGACTCTGGCCAATCATGGTATATTGTGGTATATGATGATATTATACTATATTATACTGGTATAGTATGGTATAGTATCATGGTATATCCCGGAGAACCTGGAGAAAGAACCCTGCAACGTCTGGCTCCTGACTTCGTCGCTGATACTCATGGTTGAGGTGTTGCACCTACCAAGTTGCTTCAAGGTCCAACATGGTCCCTGCAAAAATCCTCGCAGCGGCACCTCTTTGAGTTGTCGGGTCGCAGTTGTTAAGCGATTGTTGACCTATCTCAGGAATGGAATGAATCCGAAGATGATCCGAACATGTCAATTATGACATTTTCAAGGACAGCAGCGGATGCTGCAGGGCCTCGTCGTGCTCCAGCTGCATGTGGCGGAGTTTCTGTTCCAACGATCTGTGCCTTCGCGTGGGTCAAAATGCCAGTCGAGTCTCTCTTCATATCAAAAACCCCAGGGCTTCATTTTTGCTAGACCAAATCAGTCATCTTTAGAATACTCTGATTCCCTCAGGCTGCAACCTGCTCTTCAAGTCCTCAACAGCAGCTTGAGCTTCCTTGTTCTGCTGGGCCTCCTTCAAGACACCAAGCTTGGTCATGGATATTTTACAATTGAGAAACGAAGAATCACGTAATGATTTCACAATATGTCACATGCATTCTTGCTAGTCTTTTGAGGAATAACACAAGCTCGAACTGAAGGCTGCGTTACTCCGCCACCTTGTCCACCCTCTGGAGTAAGTCCGTTTTAGCCTGCGACAAGATGGCCACCTGCAGTTACATGGCACCAAAGTGGACCGAACAAGTGATGGACAGCCTGTGGACATCTGTAGAAACAAAGGCTCTACACTTCAAAGATCTTCCAAGTGGAAAGTGTCAAGCTGTACTGCTCCTAGCGGTCCTGGGGTCATCTGTTGCAGCAAATCAGCAAATCTATGTCAGATGAAGACGGAGAGACATCGATGGAAGTGTGGGCAGACCTCCTTCCGCATGGCTTCGCGCTGTGCAACTGCCTGTGCTCTAGCCTCGCCAGTCGGGGCAGTCGGATCGCCGGCAACAGCGTAGCCCAATTGGTCCTGCCTGCTCGCTGGCACCGTGCTCCTTGAGTGCTTGAAGGAGTTCATCATCTTTTGCCTCAGATCAAATCCACAAGGCTGGAAACCACACAGGGATGGGGAGAACAAAAACAAAGCAGCTACAAGGCTACAAGTAGCCACTTTCGAAGCGTTTCATCCCCAACTTTTGCCAGAGGCACATCCAGACTTCGTCGAACGGCGTCATAATCCTGCCAGTATCATCCAAAGTCATCTTTCGGTAAAGGCCTCAAGAAGTAGCTGCCAGCTACCCTCCTTGTAGACCTCTTGCAGGACAGCAGTTGTCCTCAACATTGCGAGCTTGGAGAGTTGGAAAAAAACACAGTATAACACAGTCAGATCAGAAGTGATCAGACAATTGAAGGGCACAGTGGTCAGCGCAATTCGGTCCTTTCATCCATCATGGACTTCTTGGCTGGGAACTGCATCACCTGCATCAACTTGGACTGCGAATAAGTGTCCAATGGCATCGAAGGCGCAGAGCTCTCATATATGTGCGAATAAGTGTTCGACATATTACCACCATTTATCTCTAAATCATGTAATTAGTTCAGAGAAATGGACGAGGAATGAATACATGGAGAAAATTGGAAAAAAATGGAAAAAATATGACCAAATGCACCTCCAGTTGGGAATGCAGTTGTGGAGACTCCAAGAGCTCCGAAAGTGTCAGAGCCTTGGAGTCTGGGCGGCGGAAGGCCTCCAACTGCGGACTGCGAAGGAGGCCACTGCCATTGGGATCCAATCTCTGGAACATCTCCAGGGCCAGCGAAAGGTCATGCCCAGACACACGGTCTGAGGTCAATAGCGCTGCACAGAGAAACTCCAACCGATTTACTCCGCCGCCTGTCTTATCCAAATCTGCCAATAGATCAGCTGGCAGAATACGCTCCTTTATGCGCCTTTCAAATGCTTCAGCACGTTGCCGAAGGCATCGTCGGCCAATCTTGAAGGTCATGTGTAGGATACCGAAGACAGCAAGCAAAACATAAGCAATTTGCAAACCGCGAGCGAGGTTCTGATTCACACCATCTCCCAGTGACGCCATCAGTCCATATCCTATGGTCAAGCCAGTAAGAACTGCCCAGCTAAATGCGTCCAGGAAGGATGCAGTAGTTGATGACAGTAGAACAATGGCCGTTCCTGCAGCCAATATCACAATGACCTCAAGAAGGATGCTGCCCCAAAAGGCTACTGCCTGGAGAGTTTTGGCGCGTGGTTTGGCCCATTCGCGCAAGCTTTCTTTGTGAATCTGCACAATCGACTTGGGCTTGGCACTTTCTTCCCGCAGAGGACCGCGAAGACCTTTTTCCACGTCACTTGCATGCTCCGAAGCCTCACACTTTGGTGGCAATGTTGCTGGATGATCTCCAACCAAATCCTCCAAAGGTAATCCACCTTTGATTGTTCCATGACCATCTTCTGCCAGGAGGTCAGGGGTACTCCTTAGGCTCATCAAGGAAGGCCTTTGTTCGAGGGGCAGCAGTGCTAACGACAGACTGAGCAGAAACCAAATTGTCAGTACCGCACCAATCAGGACATAGACCAACAAAAACACTTGAGCAGCAACGGATCGAGGATACACCTGCGACCCTTCGGAGAGGCCACCGCCAGTCCCAACAGTACTCAAGCTCAAAACCGAGAGGTAAAGCCCATCCAAATATGACCATCCTTCAGCCGGACAAAAAACCGCTGGACCTAGGAGCAACCAAATCAAAAGCACCAGAAGTGGCAATATCCAACTCATTCGCTGCAAGATTCCCGGCTCACTTTGTAAGGCAAACTTCAGCACTTCACGGAGGTCAACAGATCCATCTCCAACGTCATAGGCTGTTGCAATATCAACAAATTCTCTGAGTGTTTGCGGAGGAACACCAGCTGGAGGCTCTCGCAGCATTTCCTTCAAGTCATCCAATCTGATACGCCCGGTGTTTGCCAAGCCTTTTCCGCCAAGCTTCTTCAGCGTGTCTTCGATGGTCTTCCGACACTTGGCACTGCATACTATGGTCTTGCGTCGACGGGCCAACTTTTCAAGGAAAGCGCGCAAGTTTGCTCTCGCTGGGTCGCGCGTGGGATCAGGCAATCTCACAGCTGTCACTGGTGGAGCTATTTCTTCGGACATCGAGTCACGTTTTCGCAGAAGGCAAAGTCATTGACCTTGAGCCTTAAAAGCATCGAGCAAAGAGCACGCTGTCGACAATGCAACAATGTTACAATGACATGAATTCCTTGCTTACCAAAGCTCATAGAAACCTACAATATGTTTTGATTCAAATCATTCAGATTCAGTATGAAAGGACAGGAAGTCTTCGCTGAAACGTTTTAAACTGATTTATATAAACTGATGTTGCACTACCAGCCGTGCACAGCCACTTCGCCGCCGGTAAAGTTTTCAGCTGTCCGGTGTCATTCCCCGCGCGTATTCCGCGCCGGAGAGCTCCAGGGAACTCCAGGTCCTTGCCAACGGCAGCTGTTCAGTCTGAGCTTTGCCGAGCAAGACAGTGTTCAAACGTCAGAAACCTAGCGCTCTAAGCTCGGTGGTGTGAATGAATCCTTCACAGACATCATAGATATCACCCAGACTCACACTCTCCAGACTTTAACATTGTAGCTACTGCATGGTACTGCTAGCCTGTTACAAGGAAGAAAATCGATGGTTCCAAGGCTGGTGCTGGACTAAGTCTGCGAAAGCCGTCTCTCAGCTTGGCGCTGGACTGTCCTCAAATTGGCATGCATCATGTACATGTAACATGTACATGTACATGTATTTGTATGTGTTCGTGTATATATATATAATATATATATATATACATATTTATATACAGTATATATACATATGGGAGGACCGACGGACATACTGAACTGTCCATGCTTTGGTGGTGCAGCAAATCAAACGGAACTAAATAATGACATGAAATGAGCGTATATGACTGAGTTGCTTTGAAATGTGTTGAGAGGTGCTACTAGATGAAGCAAAGTTTGGGAAAGTAAAGGAGGCAAGCTGGAAGCATCTGGACTGCAAAGTGGCAAGAGAAAGAAAACGAGAAAAGAACTGGAGGTCAAACAAATGTAGGAATTGCAGGGAATTGCAGGAATCCGAAAGCTGAAAAGCCCTCATGAAATGTAGGAATTGCAGGAATTGCAGGAGAGAGCTCTGAGAGCAGACAGCCAATGGCCGTTAATGACGGTGCAACCCAGATACTGCATCCAAAAGCTGCCTGTTGGCGCTTCCACGCCACTCACTGCAGGCATGTCGGCGGATGAAGGTGTGGCCTGTGCGGAGGATTCTGCCAGCTAAAACCTGAACCCTTTGCTGCATCTTTGTTTGTTTTGTTTCTAAAACAAACTAAAATTAACTAAAACCTTGTACCAAAGTGTACCAAAGTGTACCAAACCTGCAAAGGTCCTGCTTTGGCACGAGCTTGCTGGTGCATTTCGCCCTTGTACTGGGAGAAAGCCTCGCAGCCGCAGCCATTTCTGTCGTAGCCTTGCACTCGCAGCCGTTTCTGTCGGGCCTTTTCCATCATGGTCGTCTCACCGGTGTCCAAGTTGTGCAGGAGGAATGGTAACACTTTCCCTTGGAGACGCCGTCCACCTTCGCGGCAGTGATGGGACAGCCATTGAAGAAGTTCGTTGAAGATCATTCAACAAGTTCGTATTTCATGACTTCTTCAACATTGTCACTAGAATGAGGTACCCCCAAATTCACTGGTTTATCAATGTTTATCATGGTTTATCATCAAATATCAAATGATCAGCAGTCTCATCATCTTATATCATCATCCGCATGTTTCAATGGCCATTTGGAATGGCCTTGGCCGTAGCCTCGGTAGCCACATCGAGACATCTCCTGGACCTCCGCGGTGGCTTGCACCGTCCAGTGGACTTGACCTCAGAGACGCCTTCCACACAACATGGGTGATGGATGGTGATGGTGATTGATGGTGATTGATGGGGTATCATCTTCATCTCATCTTCATCTCATCTTGAAATCTAAAAAGTGCTAAAACCTCGATGTTTTAAGGGGAAATGTTTCAAGAGAAAACTTTACATCACTTCTTTCATATCATCTTCATCTCATCTTCATCTCATCTCATCTCATCACTTTTTTGATTTCAAGATGAGATGAAGATGAGATGAAGATGATATGAAAGAAGTGATGTAAAGTTTTCTCTTGAAACATTTCCCCTTAAAAAATCGAGGTTTTAGCACTTTTTAGATTTCAAGATGAGATGAAGATGAGATGAAGATGATATGAAAGAAGTGATGTAAAGTTTTCTCTTGAACCATTTCCCCTTGAAAAATCGAGGTTTTAGCACTTTTTAGATTTCAAGATGAGATGAAGATGAGATGAAGATGATATGAAAGAAGTGATGTAAAGTTTTCTCTTGAAACATTTCCCCTTAAAAAATCGAGGTTTTATCGTAAATTGTTTTATGTCCAGATGTATGTGTTACATTGGTTGAAATGATTAGCCCATTTATCAAATATCTATTGATCTATTGCCAGTGGATGATATCTTCCCCGAACTCTCGCAATTATCTGGTTGAAACCCGTCGGTCTGATACAGCACATCGCACCCTACAAGCCACCATGAACATACAAATCATATCAAATTATTGGACAGGGATCAACAAGGTCCTTTGACAAAGTCGTTTGACAAGCTACTTTATCTGCAAAAAGATAATCTCCACAGGTTGAAAGCAAACATGGTAGCAGAAGGGCAAAGTATATGGAGGGCTCACATGAGCCAGAAAGTGTGCTCGGGGTCTTACTTCCAGTTGCAATGTTGCCAATTGGAGTGCATGACCGGGGATCTTTAGCAAGAATTATGCAGTGTTTGGCCAAACTCCAAAGGCAACTGCTCTTTGGCCGAGCTACCACTGTTCAAGTCCTGTCAAGAAATAAGCTGTCACTTGCAGGAAAACCATGTCCGCAGATCAACCTATCATGGGTCAACTGCACTGTACTTGTCCAGAAGAGGCCTTGATGACTGTCAGTTGCGATGGCTCGTGCCATGCATACGCAGCTTCAAGAGCAGAGAGCATTCGATGGGAGACCTCACAGGCGCAAACAGGCAGCGCAAACAGGCGCAAACAGGATCAGATGGATCAGATGGATCAGGATCTCAGAGACTTTCTCATTCCTCAACTGGGCAAAACTTTGCTATGCCGCTATGCCAAGCTATGCCAAGCTGCCTTGAAAGTGGCTGCGGTATCAAGGAGCTCCTCTGCAGTCAACTTGGCATTTCGCGTGAACCTGTGGAATCGGGTAAAATCAACGGTGCATTGGCCACTCCGTGATAAATCCTCGTATACAATTCCACATAGTCCATCATAGTTCATCAATGTTCATCATACATCATGATAAATCATTGTAAAATATAAATCATCATAAATCATCATAAATCTTTATATATCCACGGGAGCTCAAGTGTCTGAGCCTCCTCAATCATAGTATATTTGTCGTGTATCAATAGAATCTAATGGATATGAGGATATCATCACAGCTCCCTAGATGTCACCAAGATGTCTGAGCCTCTTCAGGAAGACCAGCGCACGGCAGGTGTCCTGGGCCACAACAATCACTCTCCATCCTCATCATCCGATGATCATCAGATCCCTATATTTTTGGATTGGGACCAATTACTATTGGGATTGGGGGCAAAAGCCACAACAAAATATAAGGGGCAAAACTCAAGTGGCAGGGCTGGCTTCACTTTTGGGATCTCTCAGGTATAACAGTGGTGTAGGATGAATCTTCCATGGTAACAAGAGACACAAAATGATACAAAAATATACAAAAGGACCTGGTAACAGCTGTACCAGCTGAGGACGGCTCCATCTCGATCAAGACATCCTGGATCCGGTAGAGCAGGACAAGGCCGATCTGAGTCATCACTCGCCAGCCAGCCACCAGGAAGCGGTCCCAGATTCTCCGCACGATGGGCTGTGGAAGATCACTTGCGTAGAGTGTCAGGAACCACTGAATCGCATAGTATTCTGAGCTGACTCCATGCCTCATTTGCAGCAAGAAAACATTGGCTGGTGATGCATTCCGAATGCCTCTTCAAAAAAGTGTCCTAGAAAACTGCCTCAAGCTGGAGAAGCTGCTTTCCACACATCTCTCGTCCAGTGCTTCAGTACCAACAGCTGACCGACTGACCTCACCTTGTCAGGGCTGCATGAACCTTTGGCAGAAACCCCTCCACAAGGCGATCAAATTGCCAGAGCACTACCTCCAACTTCTGGAACTTTGGCCTGACAGCCACCAAAAGCATCGAGGGAATCACTTGACTCGACTCGACTCAACTCTCTTTTTTCTGGCAACAAAGAACAACTCCAATGGCACCTGTACAAATCTACCAAGGAATGTCGCAGAAGCAGGGCTAGTGCACAGTTGAACGCAGCAACTTCGTCATCTGGGAAAACCAATATCCTCGTTCAATGCAGCAGCACAGCATGAAAGTGAGCTACGTCCAACTCCGAGGCAAATTTCAGGACAAACCCACAAACCCCGTGCACCCAGCGGCCGTTCAGAGCCCCAACAAATACATTCGTTACATTGCACTTGTCAAACACAAGAAATGCTCTCTATGTCTATATACTCGGTTGTACGGTTATGCGGTATTCGTCAGTTCAACGTCATGCATGTCGTCCGAGCTTCACTGTAGCAACCAAAAAGTTCCTGAGACAAGTTCTCGTCTGCATTCTTGTAAAAAACAAACTGCCGATGGCACGAGGAAAAAGGCCGAGATCCAGACAAGCTCTGACAGTACCCAATTTCATTGAGCCGTATTGCAAGAGCTCGCAGCAGCCTGGAAGGAGAAGTAAAATGAGCTTGGAAGCAATTTTGCACCTTTCGAAACTAGAGACATGCAAAATTGGCTGTGTGAGGTCAAAGTCTGCTGGCTGCTGGCCAGCCTGAACAGCATACTCTGTCCATGCCCATCGACTTCTTTAAACAAGGCTTCTTGAGGAAGAGTTCCTTGCATATCTCGTGTCTCCACTTGTAAAGGTCGAAAAGCTGCTATCCAAGGGAGCTCATCTGAACGCATTTTCGTGATCTATTTGCACCTCTCTAGAACTGCAGACTTTAGACATGCATAGTTGATCTACAACATTGACACCAGCATGCTGTCTTTGCAGCACCAGCATCGATGGACATCCAAGCGAATAGCTGCATCGTATGGGCACGACTGCTTGCAAATGCGCTCCTTGCACTGTTAAAGGCAACACACTTGCACTGAAGTCATACAAAAGCTGCTCAGCAGAAGTATGCTGCGGTAAATTTGATTGTGCTTGGCAAGACGACGCAAGCTGACCAAAACGTGTATATTGGTGTTTGCGTTTGCAAAATGATTGACCGCGCTAAACCTTTCGCACTTGCGGAAGCCAAGATACGTACTCTTCACCTTGCAAATTGATGTCAGCAAGCAGTAGTGCCTCAACTCAAACACATTCCATCCATTGTCATCCTGCGATATGGCCAAAAGTCTGGACATATAACATAGGATGACATAGGATGACATATGTAGCATATGAATCATAGGACTGCAAAGCCGGGTCCGTGACTTTCCAGGCACTTGCTCGATGGCTCCCAACATCTCCTTGCCACAAAGCCTCCATGACAGGCTGCCTTGGCAGGTGACGCAGGTGACGCAGCAGGTGACGCAGCAGGTGACGCCCAGTGGAATTCTGCACGCCTTTTATACCTTTCACACCCTGCCGAGGTGCGAAATTCCACCTGGAAGGCCATTGGCTAAGAGACCAGCACCTGATTCCATTTGTTCCATCAAATTTCAAGCGGGTCATGGCAAAATAACTCTGGGGAGAAGTGGTCTCTATATGCCATGGAACCCAAGTGCTGTGCCAATCCCGGGCAAGACTCCTGTGGGAAGATTGGAAGATGGTTCAAGCCTTCTGGTAATAGTTCTTTTGAGCTCTGCAACTTCTAATATGTACATATTATATTGTATGTAATTATATATATATACATATTGTGTGGCATGTTATATCTGTTATATAAATCTTAGTCATAATCTGTATTTATATATATATACACAAATGTATGTGTATATATATATATGTGATTGTTGAAATTGGTCGTGAAGTGCAAATGATGCAAACGATGTTCGAATGTGGTTCAAAAGATTCAAAAGCGTCTCCTCGCACTCTGAAAAGCGTCGCAGCCATGGAGAAACAGCAATGAACTGTCTGGCCTGAACAGGTGTGGATGCTGGCAACTGCTAGCAGTGCACTTCCGGCCAGAGGCTGGACAAACTCCATGAGTTACTCAAATGAGGCCTCAATTTAGTGATAAGATGTGACAAGTGTTGCCTTCAGCTGACCGTAATAATAATTAATAATAATAATAATAATATGTTAATATGTTAATATATTTATTTAATTAATATATTTATTCAATTAATATATAGTTCTTTTGTTTCATTTTTTCAAAAAAAAATCAACTCGGTCGGCCTCAACGAACTGCAAATAGTTCAGGAGACCTTTTGAGATTAGAAGGCTCCAGGCTCGGTGGGCCTGGCGGGAGTCTTCCCCAGTCTCCCCTGTAAAAAAAGATATAAGACGATGGTGATTGCCACCAAAATGCCACCAAAATGCCACCAAATAAGGCTTCGACCTCAAGCGTCTTTGCGCTTTGCATCCCAGGTATTCATCCGCTTTGGGTTGAAGCATTGCCCGGGGTTGTGCAAAAGCTCTCTTAGGTATTGGGTTTCAGGGTTGCTGTGTTGCGTCACTGGAGAACAAGCTTTAGCATGCTTTACCACTCATCTTCCCTTCCTTGAGCTACGTAGCTACAAGCTCTCGGGCTGTAAGCATCATTCGTTGCTATCGGATGCATTTGGAGCCAAAAGTAATGCATTGGATCCTAGATGTTTCACCAGTTCATGCACCTGCAACACGCGTTTAACATGTTTTGTACACATGGGACATGTAAAGCATTCGCGCATCCGATCCTTTCCCCCAATCGGTTTGTCGATCTGTTGCTGGGCGCAACAAGTTCATTAACAGCGCCGAAGTCAAAGACCTGCACTTCCGACGTGTGCAATGCCCTGTCCCATCGTGTTGCTCTCTATTTTTAGAAATCACCAAAAAGAAAATGATATATAATATATGATTCGATATATATGTATACACATGATATTATATATATACATGTATAAATTCCTTGTTTTGATTGGCTCCTTACAAAAAATGGTGACCAATCGCATGCAACCTGGCCTTTGGACTTGGCCAGGTAGGAGAAGCTGTTCTGATCAGATTCACGCTGCGAGAAGCCAAGCATTTGTTGCATGAAAGCAGCATCGATCTACGTTGGTGACTATGACTGAAGAGCGGTCCTCAATTTGTGTGCAAGTGTCTTCCAACCTTGGCAAGCAATATTCTATGAAGAAAATTACAGAGAGATCAATTCCTTCATGTAAGAACCGTATACGTCCAGAAGAACATCATCTTAGCAACATCATCTTAGCACCCCGCAAACCGAGTAGTTTGGTCTGGACGGCCTCCCTTTGAAGCCGCTCCTTCAAATAGTGGCTCCAGCGAGCATTTCTGACATCATCCATCACATGGTGGTGTAGCATGATGCTTGGGAGCATGTGTTCAGTCTGATTGGGTGCCTGCTCAATCTCACCATGAAGGCGACCACAAACATCCTCAGTGCAGCACACTTCTGGATCCTGTTTTGGTCTTTCCAGCACCGCACATCACTTCGCCTCAACCATTC